TTGTATGTATGTATGTATGTATGTATGTATGTATATATGTATGTATGTATGTATATATGTATGTATGTATGTATGTATGTATGTATATATGTATGTATGTATGTATATATGTACGTACGTACGTACGTACGTATGTATGTATGTAAGTATGGATGTATGTATGTAAGTATGGATGTATGTATGTATGTATGTATGTATGTATGTATGTATGTATTTATGTATGTATGTATGTATGTATGTATGTATGTATGTATGTATATACAGTCACGAATGCATTCATGATACTTTACAGATTACTATTTTTAGAGTTATCATTAAAAACCTCAGTCGATTAGCGTGTTCATAGCAAACGGGACAGTTAACAACTGCACCTACCAAAAAAGAGAGCGACATCACGAATCAGAAAGTAGGCTTAACGAATTAAGAAGTGGTGGCTGTGTAGTGATATGCACCCTGTTCAATGAATTTTGTTGTTTATTTACATAGAGAGGAGAGGGTTGTAAATATTTTCTCCTCTATTTTTATTTATTTTTTATTTACATTTTTTTATCATTTTTATGACCGCTGATATAAAAGCCAAACCGTGACATGAAATATTTATACCGGGACCCGCCAAATTTTCTACAGAATATCATAGCCTCCTGATAATAATAAATATATATAAATAAAGAGAAAAATATACAAATATGTTTTTTTTTATTCGAAGGTATCCGTAATATATAGATATTTTGCTGCGTATAATACAGTGTATTTACAACTGTACACTGTAAATACAGTAAATATATATAAGTATACTATTTGGCCACCCATATTTACTGTGCACTGGTATCAGTGGTAAGTGGTAAAGGGACCTATTTTTTCATCAATATTTATTCCTATAAAGGGCGAGTGAATCAGCCGGAAAAGGCATGAAAACTCGACAGCCGGTATAAATCTTTCAGGGATTATTGCGAGAAGTATCGCATTTTGGAAGACAAATGAAATGGGCTACGAATAGATTCCAACAACTATCGGATTTCGACTAGTAGTGATGTCTACTGTGGGCACTATGATGTTATTTATGATTTGAATCCAATGAAATGTCGTCGCTGTACTGGTGAGAACTGAAGTAAGAGTGGGGTGAATAATATGCAGTTGTATATTTATTTTTATAATCTGCAGGGCAGTTATAAGTGATGTGTACATCAGCACACGAAAGTCGATGTCGCTGGTTATGAGGCAGTAAAGGGCGACTGTTTTGGATTTACTAAGAAAGAACCAGTGTAAATAAAAATAGATAGAGAGTGGAGACTGTTTCGGATTTATTATTAAAAACATAGAACCAGTGTAAATGAGAATATAATAGAGAATAGAAAGAATTGAGAGCTTGTTCCCCGCGGATTTTTCTAGCGTTCAGGCGGAATACACAAAGTTCCGCTAGACGCCGTAAAACAAGGTCTATACCGTCGGAGTGTGATGCTTTTAAGTGAATGCATAGATTCGTGAATCGGGTATCTTACATGGTTGTGTATTGCTCATAGTAAAGTATTGTGTACGGAAGATCAGATCCAGAGACATGTTGTGATGACAGCAGACTCCGATCGAGATGTGAAGACTGGGTCTGTACACATATTTCTGGTGGAGGCTACATCCCGTTCTAAACGAGACATTTTGTAATAGCGTGTTGTTTCGGGTCCAGCGTCAGATCTGTTCTTATTGGCTTCCTTAAGAGCACTTAAGAAGTGGTGGGGCTGGGGGTAAACTTCTTAGGACGGACCTCAATTGGCCAGGCACTGTAAGAAATGGTGGCTCAGAATGTACTGGGTTTGTTCTAGTCGGTACAGCTTACATACACAGGGTGCTGTTGCATGCATTGGGGAATAGCTTGTGGAGTTGGAGTGAAGAGCATAAGTATTGTGAAGGATGCGAAAAATGACGTGGTGATAGGGGAGCGGGAGGATTTTATTGAATAAGCTGGGGTGCTGTTGTCCAGTGGGGTGGTCCTGGGGTGGCTTGGTGAGTAGATGGTGTAGAAGGGGTAACCTGACGTTGGTCTGGAATTGGAAGAAGAAGAAAAAAAGAAGGATAATGTAGGGTTTTGTCCGGGATGTCTCGCTGGAAGACCTAAGAGAGAAAGGAAGGAAGTGTGGCTAGTAATGGCTCATCCGGAAATAATTGGATGAAAGAGAAAAGGCAGTGTCGACTGGTTTAGGAGTTGTGCAATAGCATCACATCGGTGTATTGGGTTAAATTGGCCAATCGGGGAGAGGTTGGGATTAATAAATGATATATTGGTAGTTTCAGGGGCGGTAGAAGTACACGCAGTGAGTCAACAAGGAAATCATAGCAGCTCGTGATGGCACACAACACAGAGAGGGTGTCGATCTTGCTACCTGCTAACCATTGCACGTTTCTATCGGCAATAAAGCGCATATCTTCAGTATAAATAATTTGAGTCTATATACGTGTCGAGTGTTCAAATAAAATACGAGCCAGGAGAAGAGCTGTTCTGCGTGTGGCCGAGAAGGACCCCAGACACCATGAGGATGAAGCTTGTGATGGCCTTTGACACGGTCCCCACGAAGTTTCAACCCCACAAGACAACCAAATCGTAAAAACAATGGTTCCGGACGTCACAGATGTACAGGAAGGCGTCGTCTCAGCAAGGTTTAGGCATACCTGTAATAGCAAGGTCTCCACATTAGACTCTATGTTATAAACGTACTCTTAAACAGTACATAAACTATAAACTTACTTTTAATAGTACGAGGAACTTAAGTTTCCTAAATGGTTTTTAACGGTTTTATTAATTAATACCTTTTCCATTTTACATATCAGATATTTGGGCAAGGCCATTAAAAGGCCCCAGTAAAATACCAGACATAAGATTTGGTCTAGTTCTATTAATAGAACTATATTTACTTTCTAAATCTATTTCTATCTGAATACTTCGGTAGCGAGATGGCTCAACCGAACATAGGTTTCTAAGGACTAATAGCGTTGCTTAGTTTATCATCCGTTCAGCCAACCAGATGTGCCAGTTTGATGAAGGCTAAGTCGGTAATTCTTGATAAGTGGCCAGTTTTTGGTTAACGCAATAACTAAGGACATCAAGAGTTTTTTTCCTTTTTTTTTCTTTTCTTTTTCTAAAGATAGGATTTTATGAGTCTTTCGGCTTCGCCCCAACGAAACATACCATAATTTCTAATAGAGCGACAAGGAAACATTAAGTAAAATCCCTTCGGCGAAAACAGTACTGAGAGGATTATATATAGGCAATGTCTCAGCCTCACAATCCCTCAGAGTATTGCTGTTTTCACCAGGCAAACCTAACTTTACTAAAAGACTAATTACGTTTATTTTGCTTTAATTTCATTTGAGCTTTAGAAGACTTTATTACGTTTAACTACTCTAAGACGTTAATATTGCCTTAAGAGACCGAATCTTACACATTTTAAAGTTATTAAAAGTATTAATTACTTAGACTGCTTAACCGTAGTGGCAATTAACTACCATAATTTTTTTCTTGTTCAAGAAAGACCAGTGATTCCTTAAGAGAATAGCTTGTAGTCATATAGGTTAAGGTTATGACCAAGAAAGATTAGTCATTCCTTAAGAGAATAGCTTAGAGTCATAAGTTAATATTATGACCAAGAAAGACCACACCCCTTCTAAGAAGCAAAAGGCTGAAAAGAAGAATATGGATAAAGACGATGCCACTGCTGCAGCCGCTGCTGCGTCTGCCGCAGCTGCCGATGCGTTTAACCGCACCGTAGGCAAAGCTATTGTCTCTGGCGTTAACAGTCAGAACAATGCAACCGACAAGAGAGAGACTACTCCATTAAGAGAGAAGTCCCCCGAATATAGAGCCTGAGGGCCAACTATTGCTTCTTCTTCTAAGCTTACATTTACGAAGCCACGAAGTGAAGCAAGGGGAGCGTTTAAGACTACCTCAAACAACCCTAATGAGATTACTCAGAAGGATGATCTCTCAGTTACGGAGGAGAATAACGAATCCCAAGGTGAAAAAGAACCACCGAGGACGATGAAGAAGAGGAAAGTTCAAAGAGCCAGCCCAAATTAGAATCAAAATCGATGGAACCAACTCGTATAAGTAAGTTGACCGAAGAAAATACTGAACTCAAGAATCAGTTAGCTGCACTTAAGCAGAACGTGACCTCGAGAGAGAAGGTGGTTGTTAAAAACCCGCGTGACCAGATTGACCAAGGGTACGTATCTCGGCAGACTTCCAATGAGAAGCCTCCTCAGACACGTCCTCGTGACTCTGTTCAGAATGCACGCCATGTTAAGAAGGTGCGTGCCGAGTCAAAGGAATCTCCGTATAAGCAAATTAAGAAATGTGCGGAAAATGTGGGTACGATATGTACCAATTGACCCCTAACGGTTATTGGAATTGCAGACATGCACCCACTTGTACACACTTTCTTTCTAAGTGTGACAAGTGTGAGAAGACCAATGGCTATCACGCCAAGTCTTGTGACAAAAAGCCCGACATTAAGTTGGAGTGAAAGTACTACCAGGTACAATCGTTACAAAGGAAATAGAACGACTCTTTAGACGAGCGTGTAATCATCCCTGTATATTGCAATGGAAATAAATTCCTTGCGTTGATTGATCCTGGTTCAGAAATTTCATGTATATCCGATCGCTTTGCATTGATGGAAGACATTGGAAGGTGAACTCAACTACTCACCTAATCTTAGCAGATGACAAAACTTCTAAGTGTGATACCATGGCCACATATTTTAAAATCTCCCTGGCTGATGATAAAAATATCACCACCCAAGCAGTGATAGTTAAGATGTCACAGAAGTACGACTTAATAGTCGGAATGGGTGATTTACTTGCTCTAGGTATAACCGTAACTGAATTACCAAATAACATAGATCCATTAAAGGATCAATCAGACGATAACTGTCTGAAACCATATAAGCCCCCGTCAGACACAGTCAAGGTTAATATCTGACTTTACGGACAAAATTATGAATCTGATTCTAGTAAATAAGACGATAAAGATCACAGATTGGGCAAAATTCCGTTTTAACGATGGATATGTCAGCCTTGACTTAACCAAGGTAAACTTTACTAAGCTCAAATGCCCTTCAAGAAACTATGTTTCTTGGAGACACGAAGCTGTAGTTAAAGAACAAGTTGAGAAGTGGTTATTCGATGGGGTAATCAAAATCAATTAGCAACAAACGCCAGTTAACTTAGCATTATTGGCAGTTGATCGACACAATTATGACGGAACATTTAAGAAAGTCAGAGTATGTCTATATATGAGTCCAATAAATAAGTTATTGCCGACTCATAGTTTCCATCTCCGACTTTATTACGTTTAACTACTCTAAGACGTTAATATCGCCTTAAGAGACCGAATCTTACATACCAGCATATTTTAGAAGAATATGTACGTAGTTATTGAGTGTGTTGTGGCGACGCTCCACCTTAGTATTGTGTTGTGATCTATGAAATGGCGATTTAAGTTATATAGTGTGTGAATATTTACTGTGAAATATCATGGCATTGTTAGTCGCGAGAGAGTTTGGCTTCCAAGTAGGTGAGACCGACGTTAGAAGTCGTTTTATGTTAGTGTCTGTGCGGTAATTATTGTTAAGTAGGGAGTGGAGACTATATCTGATCCCAGCATCACAGAACACATTGAGGGTATATTCATTACCATATCTGTCTGAAAACCGTGAACAGTGCTGCTCGGAGAGTGGGCAATAGGTGTGGCCCGATGTAAGTTTTCCTTCTACGGATTCGCACAATGTTTGTGTTGTTAATCGTTGGTGTTTGTAGGGATAATATTCTTCATTTCAGAGGAGATGAGTTACAATGTATGTACATATGGTATGGCTCTCATAGCCATTGTAGTGGTTCGGGGAAGATCGATGGGAAGAAATGGCCAGTAAATTCCCGTTTGAAGCTTAGACCAAGTGAGTCGACTATGGAGGATATGCGCTGGGTCAATTCAGGCCGGTGCTGACAAAAAAACTGACACCATCGAGTGTGCCACGTATTTGCTTGCTGACCTACTAAGTAGCGTACCCACTTCTGTGGTACGGATCGGGTCTGCACCGTGTAGTGCCGTGGAATGGGTTAGTGCAGAGTACGAAATGTTAAGTAGGACCAGGTTATCCGTCATTTTTCGATTGAGGAGCGAGGTTGGGGGTGAACCAATGCCGCACCAGACCACGGATGCACTCGGTATGTGCTGGCTGGCCTGAATCAGAAATATCATAGCCGGAACCAACAGGCGAGTGACTTGGTTTGGGCCAAAAAGTTTAAGTGGTACTTCAACAGTGTGATTAGCCGGGGTATGTGGAACATCTGTTGATGTGTCAGAGACGGGTGTGGGTACGGGGGTTGTTCTACATGCTGGAGAAAGGACCCAAGGTGTTCGTGGAGGGTCCAGATACCGTGGACGTCGTGGCGATCCTGTAATTGCTGAAGGAGGTCAGAGCCAATGAGAGGCAGTTTCGGGCCTACCAGGATGCGTCGGATCAGTTGCTGGATGCAGACAGAGTGGCTGGTGGTGAATTTGTGGCCACCGGGGCAGACATGGCAGAGACAGTCGTCGGTGCGGTAGTCGAGCAGTGTGAACATGTACGTAGTCGACACAATCATAGCACAGAGCCGGATGGGTGTAGGCTCGAAGCAGCGGTTGAAGCTGCCGTGTCTGACTTTGTCACAATTTGAGGTTGGCGGTTTGCCCATTCAGATGTAAAACTATAAACGAATGGGTTTTACCACTGAACCAGTTACACTAAAAAATATTTCGAGCCGGTTGCCTATTCAGATATAAAACTATAAACGTATGTGTTTTACCACTGAACCAGTTACACTAAAAAATATTTCGAGCCGGGTTTCAAATCTGGGACCCACTGGTTTATCAAAAAGTAAGAGAGCGGAATGCTGGGGAACGATGATATGCATCATACGTCATTACTGGTGATGAGGGAGTCTGTAGTGATGGTAAATGTCGTAATGCAGTGTATTGGACATAATATCCCCCTTTGATACGAGTTGGTTGAAGAGTAGTCTTACCAAAGCTCAAAAGGTACTTGCGTTTGTTGTCAAAGAAAAAAAAAGCAAATCCAGAGTCTAGTAGAGTATTTTGTGTAATGATAGCTTGAATGAGTTGAGGATTAAGGTATGTAAGGCCAAGACTGAGAAGTATACCTCGTTTTAATATGTGTTTGATAACTCCATCAAATAGTTGAAGTGGGAAATGACCAGTCTCAACGTTAACTAGTAAGTGACGTGTTTTAGTGTTCATATATTTTACTGTTACACCACCATCCATGAGTAGAAAGTAAATATCAGTGTAAGCTGATGTAGCAGAGACTGTATGAACTGTGATGCTGATGCATGCTAATGTTTGCGTATTGGTAGTGTACATATGTATACGTAGGGTAAGGAGAGTTATTCTGTTAGCTCTTTTGAGAAACTACAGGAGTAGACGTATTTCTAAATACGTTAATAACGTTTTACGCCGTCAGTCCGAGAGTAATTTGGAACTTGTTCTCAAATTAATGTATGTATAGGTGGGTCAGCCCGAGAGAACGTAAAAGTAATTTGATACTACTTCTCAGATTATTTTATTTATAGGATACGGACCACCGGCTAGCCGAGAGCCGAGGTTCGAGACTGAGAGTACGAAACAGCGAATGTGATATATTCATTTCTAGAAATATATCAGAATACTAAAGTGTTCTGCCTGCATAAGGTTTCTCATACTGATCATATAAGTTTTTACCCTGGCCAACTCAAGTGGTCGAACACAAGTACAAACACTATCAGTATATAAATGAGGGTGAGATCATAAATAAATTCATTCGAACGCACCACTCTTTAGATTCATTTGCACTTTATTTAAAGTCTACTACATTTCACTCTAACACCTTTTGGCTATAAACGGCGTCCACATAACCAGTGCGGGAGCAAAAATGCAGTTAGCTGATGAGATCTATTTAGTGCAAGCTCGGGCGTTGCGGTCTTTTTACCGCAGCGTTAACATCCGTTAGAACACAAAGAAGTTGCATAGGTTGTATCCCAACACAAATAGCATTTACGTAAGCGAGGTGGGCGATTGTTATTACCTTGTTGTATTTTGAGAGCATTAATTATACGGAACAACGTCGTGTGACGGAGTTAGCAGTTGGGACGAAGACAGATGACTGGGTGGAGCGATGCCAGGTCTCAAGATACGCGCAGAGATCATCAATGTCGAGGAGTGAGCGGTCCTTGATTTGCATTATATGAATGCTCTTATATTGGTCGCGGTCAGCTTGACTCAGTTCATTAATAAATAGATTTTGCTGAACAGTAGGGCTTAACATGGTACCTTGTGAAGTAGCTGTTGATATTGCAGTGCCACAGTGGTCCGCGTTTCTTGGCAGTTAGGTAAGCTGTGTCGACAATCTCGTGAATCAGTTTAGACTGATGTTTGAATTTAGACTTATAAAAACAAATAAAATCCAGGAATGTTCTTGCTTGATCGTCTTCACAGTGCTAGGGGGAAGACAGGGTCCATGGATAAATGAAGAAGTGACTTTGCTTTCTATGTACCATTGGTGCGAACGGCAAAGAATGTTTTAATTTCCTTCATGTAGTTTTGAAAATCATTCCGTTCTTCCTTTGGAGTGTTTAATATATTTACATATTTTTGATTTGATGGAGTCATCCTTAGGGAATTTATGATCGAACGTCAGAATAGGTGTCAAGTCGGTAGTATATTGGGAGGACAGAACTAGTTACATGTCTTGCTCCTAAAGATCGATGTTAAAGCCGCCGTGTACAAGTATAGTCCAGGACACGGTAGTGCCTTTGTTAGTATGTTTGTTGAGTACTTGAGAGCATGTTGTCGGAATCTCAGAAGAAGAAGAAAAACCCATAACCTAAAGAGACCTAACTCGATAAACAAACTTTATTTCAAATCTTGCCAGTGGTTTATAGGTTCTAAATACTAAGTCAATTTAGTTGAGAGTAACTATGCTGGTTTGGACGAGAAAACCAGGCGGTAGGAAACCCCACACGTAAACCAAGTTTACGCCAACAACTGATGCAGTGTGCTCTAGTTTAGTATGTACCCGGCTCTTCGGATCTGTAACTCGTAGCATTTATGTATGGCTAGACCGCTAGCATGACTTAAAGTAATAAACTAGTCGAGGTCGGATTTATTAGACGTATGTTTTTTGTCCACTTTACGATAGCAAAAGGGAACATTGACTATCAGGCTCAGGGGTGCCAGCTAATTAATGGGCCGGAATCATCACAAGGGCTTCGGTCTCACGGGGCCTACGGTCTCACGGGGCCCACGGTCCTACGCTGGCAGGGACTCTGACAGGCGTCTCAACGGTTCACTTGAT